CCGTCGTCGAGCGCCTTCCAGCCCGCGCGGAGCGCCTTCTCGACGAGCGCCTGCTGCTCCTTGTCGCTCGCGTCCGCGTGGTCGCGCTTGACGGCGGCCTTGGCCTCGGAGCGCGTCTCCGTGAAGTAGAACTTCTTGCCCTCCGTGACGACCTCGGCCTCGGCCGCGTCCGCGTCCCACTGGGCCTTGGCGCCGTCGTCGAGCGCCTTCCAGCCCGCGCGGAGCGCCTTCTCGACGAGCGCCTGCTGCTCCCTGCCGCTCGCGTCCGCGTGGTCGCGCTCGACGGCGGCCTTGGCCTCGGCGCGCTTCTCCTTGCGGTAGAACTGCTTGCCGCTGAGCTGCTTCGTGACGATCTCGGGCGCGTCCGCGGCCCACTGGGCCTTGGCGCCGTCGTCGAGCGCCTTCCAGCCCGCGCGGAGCGCCTTCTCGACGAGCGCCTGCTGCTCCTTGTCGCTCGCGTCCGCGTGGTCGCGCTTGACGGCGGCCTTGGCCTCGGAGCGCGTCTCCGTGAAGTAGAACTGCTTGCCGCTGAGCTGCTTCGTGTCCGCGTCGTCCGCCGCCGCGCTCGTGCCCGCGGCCTTCGGCGTCGCGCCCGGCGCGGGCGTCGCGGCCGGCGGCGGCGCCTCGAGCGGCGCCGTCGGCGCGCCCGCGCCGCGCTTCCGCTTCTTGCCGCAGCTCCGCCAGGCCTCGAGGGCGCCGGGGTCCCAGGCCGCCGCCGCGTCGACGCGCACGTCCGCGGCGTCGTCGGGCCAGCGGAGGACGTCGATGCTGCCGTCGTTGTCGTAGCGGATCTCGACCTCGGCGCCCTTGGGCTTCTTCCGCGGCGACCGCTTCGCGGCGGCGCCCGCCGAGGGCCGCCGCTTCGGCGGCGGCGCGTCGACGCGCACGACCGTCGCCGGGAACCAGGCCGGCGGCCGCCGGTCGTCGTTCTCGGGGAACGTGTGCACGCGGACGCGCGAGCCGACGGCCGGCGGCAGCTGCTCCGCGGCGGGCTCGGGGAGGAGCGGCGCCGGCGCCGGCGGCGGCGCGGTCGCGGCGGGCAGCGGCGCCGGGGCCCAGACGCCCGGCGGCGGCGCCTCGAGGCGCGGCGGCGGCCGCGCGTGGAACGCCGTCACGCTCACGCCGCCGTGACGCCGTGACGCCGGCGCTAGCCTCGCGAAGGACGCCGTCGCGTGGGCCACGCTCTGCCGCTGCCGCGGCGCGGCCTCGGCCTCGGGCGTGGCGGCGTCGGCGCCGACGACGGACACGGGCTCTTCGACGGCCATGGCGTCCTCGACGGCCCGCGCGCCGCCGTCGACGCACTGGTGCTTCGCGCCGTCGACGTACTGGCGCTTCGCTCCGTCGACGTACTGGCGCTTCGCCGCGGCGCCGTCGCGCTCGCGGTCCGCGGCGTCGAGCCCGGCCACGCGGGCGGCAGGGTCCCGGTTGGCCTCGCCGAGTGGCTGCGGTGGCAGGCGCTCGAACGACAGGTCGTCGCCCGCCGCGCCGCCGTGCGTGACCTAAGGGATCGGGGGTCGGGGAAGGCGCGCGGGGAGGTCGGGG